GATCCCGGGCGCGGGGCCGGGAGTGTGTTCGGGGCAGCACAGCCGCTTTGAGTCCCTGTGAACGGGATATGTTTCTCCAGAGAGACCTTTGCAGGCAACAGGCTCAGTAGGATTAGATCTTTCTTTTCTTTTTGTAGAGGTGGTATTTTTCAACTCCCCATGGGCACATGTATCCACGAGGCAATAAGGACACATTTTATTTCAACATGACCATTTTGAAGTAAATTACATCTCATACCCATGTCCTTTCCTTGAAGTTTACCATGAGCATTTTAAAGGAAATTTCATCTCATACCCATGTCCTCTCTTCCTTGCAGTTTACCAGGTCTTTGAAAATGTGGCCCAGAAATATGATGTAATGAATGATTCCATGACTCTAGGAATTCATCGGGTGTGGAAGGATATCTTCATGCACAAAATGAACCCTTGCCCAGGAACACTTCTTCTTGATGTTGCTGGAGGAACAGGTAAATCATTTTGGTGAGTTCCACATGACAGTGCCACAGTTTTTCAGCTGTTTGAGTCTGCTCAGAATTAAGTTGCCTAACATTTTCTTTCTCCCCTTAGTTCCCTGTCTTTAAAACCAGTCAAGCATCTGCTTGGCTTTCCAAGAGAAGTGTTGAGAGCTAACTTAGTTGTTTTTCATAATACCTTGCTCAAGGGGTCTGAAAGTGTTATAATATTGCCATGATATGTTGTGGAAAACTGAATTTGTAGAAAGACATGAACTCTCTGCTTTTAGTATGTTCCCTCTCTGTATTTTTACATACATTCACACACTCTCTATGTCTATACAGTGTGGCGGGGTTGTTTTTATTAATATATACAACCGAAAATAAATGTTAACTCAGTTTGATGTTTAAAGCTTGATGTGCCAATTTCCCAGAGTCAGAAATCATCCCAACACATGTATTTTTCCTCAAACACCTGCAGGTGACATTGCCTTTCGGTTCATTAACTACGTTCGCGCCGCGCGGCAACGCCAGATCCAGAGGAAGCTTAAGAACCATCAGAATTTGTCGTGGCAGGAAATTTTTGAGAGTTACCAGGATGACAAATCAAACTCCCTAGGGGATTCCCAAGTGGTGGTCTGTGACATTAACAAAGAGATGTTAAAAGTTGGGAAGCAGAAAGCAGAACAGCTTGGCTACACTGAAGGTAAGTCATGCATGTCAGTAGTGTGCCTGAGAGCAAGAATTTGACACATCAGGTAATCACAACTTCAGGACTGCACATACCTTATACAGCCACGGTGTGGACTGTAGCTGTGCTTACGTATTTGCCAATGCTGAGTCACTTTTCCAGTGAGTATGGGGTGTAGTATGTTGTTCAGGTGTCCAGTGATCCTCTTGAATAACACTTGAACTTTCAGCAATAGGTATATGGAAGTGTCCATGAGGTCTGATGCCCAGCTGGCCTTCAAAATTGGTTAAAGAATCCAAACCTGCTGTTTATATCTGTGCTAACAAATCTGATATTACTAAGATAACGCAAAAGAGCTCAGCCCTAGAATGACTGAAGATGTTATGATCTGTATTTTTAAGAATCAGGGTAGCAAATAAAAAAATGAAAGAACTAGAGGATATTGTGAACTAATAAATCTTTTAGAGCATATGCTAATAATGCTCAGAGAAACTGAATTCTACTAAATGTTAGTTTGCAGGTCAGTGGGTTAATTCACTGTACTTACAGTTTGTTGGGGACCACACCAATCCTGATCAAAAAGCCTAATTTTAAGAAGTAAGACATAGAGAGAAAAGTGCTGCTTGTGGCTCGGTGTTTGTGTCAGAGTTGCTTATCCTCCCTTCATTTACAGATATTTGGCAAATATTATAGCAATGTAAAGTATACCAGGAGGTTCCCAAACTTGGTTTGCCTGGATACCTCCTTTAGGTGTGCCCTGGGCAGCCCTTGTTTGTGTTATGAGCATGTTCTGTCACTGTGCTCTACTCCCACAGTCCCATCAGGACTTCAGCCTACAAACTGTGTGGGCTGAAGGACACAAAGAACAGCTCAGTGGCACAAAGGAGCTGAAGACAGACTGCTGGCATGGGTTCTGGCAGCTGCTCTTGCTCCCTGCAGTTACCCAGGACCATTGCCTGCCTGCTTCTCCCTTTTTCTTAATAAACAGACTAATTGTGAGGGCATTAGTTCTTCCAGCCCTGGCAGACTGCAGGCATCACACTAATTTGTGCAGCTTGCAAGCCTTTTTTCACATCATAGTTTGAGAACACCTGAACTGTACCAACACTGGAAGGATAAAAGCTTTATGGCTGTAGCATAGGACTGGAAATAAAACTCACTACTATCTTCAGCTACTATAAATAGAGCATTTTGTTTAATTGGTTGCACTTTTTATTTGTGACTTACCAAAATCTCAAAATTAGTATTTACAATTTTAAGTTTTCTTTCTCTGTACATCAAAGCTGTAGAAGCCCAGCTGTTGTCTTGCTGTCTGGGTTGCCCTATGCCCCGCAATTCTGACTTGTTACTCTTTTTCACTCCCTTGTTCAGCACACACCTCTTTAATGTGTCCTGCCTGCTGGTTTTCAGCCAATTCCTCCCTGATGTAGTAATCTCATTTCTGAGCTTGTTTATTTGTTGATTGTCTGAGGTCTAAATCTTGTTCTTCTTAAAATTGTAAGTGGCAGAGGGTTTTTTCACTGTTTCCCTGTGTAATTTAGCAACAGTGGGAGCTGTGCATGGTGAAAAGGAACATGTGTTGCACAACTGCTGATTGTGCATTTATTCTGCAGGAGTGGTGGACTGCACTGCACATACCCCAGTTCCTCTTGCTGGACACCAACAGCTTCCTTTATGTCCTGTCCTTAGGTCCTACCTTACAAACTCGTGGCCTGTGGTTTTACTGCAGTGTGCTCTGAGGGGTAGTTTCCTGCTGCTCATAACCTTTTCTCCATGCTCACTTCTTAGGTGCCTTTGCAAACTGTATATGTTTAAATAACACTAATAACTGCTACTTTAATTATGTTCCATCCTTTTTTTCATGCAATACTTTCTACTATACTATAATAGTATAACTATAAATAGCAAGTGGTATAGTACAGGGCCCCGAAAGGTTCATGAGTCTAGGCCAAGGTATCTTTCCTCCAACAGAAATGCAAAATTGAAACATTAATTTTAAATATTACTTTTAAAATAACCAATCCCTTCTAGGATAAATAAGTTCTAGTCTTTCTGGAGCATTCTGAGTTCAATTCTGTGACTTGTCTTTTACCACAGGCTTGTCCTGGGTACTTGGGAATGCTGAAGAGTTGCCCTTTGGTGATGATAAGTTTGATGTTTACACAATTGCCTTTGGAATCCGAAATGTAACTCGTATTGATTTGGTAAGTTGCTGTAGTATATCCTGACTTGGGATCCTTACAATTCATCTGAGGTTCTTTTATTCTATAGAGGAAGAAAATGAGGAAATCCTTTGGATAAAGGAAGATCACAGTCCTGTCCTGAAACATTTAAAATAAATGGCACATAGTGTGCAACTTGTTTGAATGGAGAATGCAATTAAATGCCCCACCTTTGTCATAAAAGAGATAGATTTATACCAGTTGCACCCAATCCTTCCAGCTTGGCAAGCTGTACAATCTCTTCCTAAGGCAAAGGGCTGAGCGCTACAGTCACTCCCCACCTTCTCCTGACCTACGACACAGGTGGATCTGCACATGGCACAGTGCAGTCAGTCTACATGTCTCAAATCTTCCTGAAGCACCTGATCAATATCCTACCCACAGTGGGTCCAACACTTCCAGTCCCCTTCTGTTTCCCTGCCTGAGCCAACAGAACTTTCAGAGCAGAGTGGGAAGCAGTTGGCTGCTGCCCCCACTGCTGTTGGACTAACCTGTTCAGCCCACTTTGCTCTGTGTCTTTACACTGGCTGATGGTAGAGCTTCCTATGAAGAATAAGTGTGATTTTAATTAGGATAAGTAGTACCCTTTGTTCTAAACAATGTCTGCCCTTTGAGGGTGACTGGCTGTCATGGGAGTGAAGATAGGCTAGATCACTTGTCTAGGTGGACGAGTCGTCTGTGTTTCAGAGGAGTGTGTTACAGCCTTGGCAAAGCTCCTGCTGTGGAAGGTGTAGCATTTGGATCCCAACCACTTTGAACCATATGCCTTTGAACTTAATGTGGATGGCTTTTCCTGGTGCTTCGTCTGCACAGGCTCTGCACCTTCATGGATACAGCAGTCTGGTAGCATAGCTCCCTGGAGACCTGATACAAAACACATCCAAGCTGCCAATTCTTTTGCAGAGCTCCTGTCACTTATGTGTACTGTTTATATTTTATCCTTCAGGAACAGGACAGTTGAAGCCAAGCAGATGTACAGCCTGCAGAGGTTCTAGAATACCACTCTGCTGTGCTCTTGTATGAAAGAACATAGAGTTGTAAACAGAATTTTGTCTTGGTTCTTCTTAGGTATTCTATTTTGGATATAGGATAGAATTTTCAAAGTAGCCAAATATTTTCTTCTTCCTTGTCCTGCCTTCCTGTTCTCACACATTGCTCATCCAAACCCCAGTATCATTCCTTCTTTGATCCTTTGGGTGTGTCTCACAATAAAATCTTTTCTTTTGATTAAAAAACCAAACTATCATGCCCTTTTCTCCTTTTCAGCTTCCTGTAGCTGAGTCACCTTCTCCGTTTTGGGTTTGGTCTGTAATTACAAGAACTCTGCCAACAATCATCCATCAACTAGCAGCAGGGAAAAAGAATAAAAATTACAAACCCAACATCACAGTTTTGACATAAAGCCTTGTATAAATCTATTTATGTGACAGCAAGAGTGTTTGCGCTTTGGGTTTGTTGTATGTTTGGGTTTGGGGTTTTTTTGTATTTGTCTTGGGATGCTTCTCCACATTAAACATTGCAGATTGCCAGTCAGGATTCTCTTTACTCTCCTCAGCTCATCAGAGTTGCAGGATAGTATCACATGGCATGATAATAGGCAGGTGGTGTTCTACAGAAACAAACTTATCACATCTGCTTTGTCTCAGGCACTTCAGGAGGCCTATCGTGTGCTGAAACCAGGAGGAAGATTTCTCTGCCTTGAATTTAGTCATGTCAGCAACCCTCTTCTTTCCAGGTAGGAACATGGTGATACTTCATGCCATGTCACAAGGTTCTTTTATTTGTACTCAGACAGAATAAGAGACAGAGACACTTTGAGGCCACCTCTTTGTGCACTTTTAAAATCAGATGCAGACTGCATAGGGTAGTGGTACAAAGATCAGTTTGTGCTGGAAAGGTTGCTTTTAAACTTGTGTTAATATGCATTTGTTGTCTGTCTGTGCAGGCTCTATGATCTCTACAGTTTCCAGGTTATCCCTGTTCTGGGTGAGGTTATTGCTGGTGACTGGAAGTCTTACCAGTACCTCGTGGAGAGCATACGACAGTTTCCCCCTCAGGTCAGTATTTCCCTGAACTCAGTAGCACAAAACACAGTCCCAGCACAGTCAGCTAGCTGGCTTCAGGCCTTCAGGCTGCTACAATTATGACCCTGTTATTTTCCAGGAGGAGCTGAAGGAAATGATAGAAGATGCAGGCTTTTTCAAAGTGGATTATCAGAATTTAAACTTTGGCATTGTTGCCATTCACTCAGGTTTCAAACTGTGAGTCTACTGTGTAACAAAACACAGGGAGTGTATATTTGTGAGCAATATGAAAGCTGTGGAATTTTAACAGTATCATGATTGAAGAGGAAGTTTAAGAATCTGTGTAGCAGATACTTGCTCAGCAGCCAGACCCAAAGAACACCAGCTACCTTCCCCTGGCAAAAAACCTGTGGAAGGAGTGACTCCAGTGGTATTTCTTACACTTGCATGTCCCTTGAAGTGCAAGATAAAGGACATGGCCAAAGCTGAGGAATGCAAAGGAGTAAAGCAACCTCAGTTACCAGTGGGTGTGGATACAGAAACAGACTGACTAGTCTTCAAATAAGATGCCTTTTTTTTTTTTTCACTAAGCTTCAAGAAGGATATTATACCGGTGGAGAAGTAACTTGGATTTATGAAGTAACTATGGATTTTTATGAAGCTGTTATTGTCTTTGTCATGTGGAGTTTAAGGATTTTTTTTCCCCATGGCTCCTTTATTTCTTTCAAAGGCAAACGAAAGGTTTGTGAAATAAAAGGGCACTGCATCAACCTTTTTCACTTAAGTCAGTCTTTTAACCTTTGTAAGAAGGTTTCTTTCCTAAGAAAGGATGGATTGGGGGGTACTGGAGGTGGGAATGTTCTTCATTCACAGTGGAATAAAGAGGGTAATGCAAGCACTAAGGGGACAGAAAGGTAAAGAAAACTCTCAAATGATAAACTTCTTCCAACAGTTTTATTAGCAAAGAAGCCATTTTTTGAAAGAAAATAAATACAAGGAAGACATTTTTGCTCTTTATATAGCCACAATGAAAATACCAGCTGCTACAGCAAAATCCCTGACCATTAACAATACAACAAAGACCTGAAGATCAAGGTCTGTTTCCCCAGGAAGGCTGAAGGTGGGAGTCAGTGTGCAGTCCTGTACCCAGGTGCAAGTTTCAGTAACAGTCTGTGGTTCTAACCAGACTTGAAAAGAAGAATAGCAACTTGGCCGAGGTAGAAGTAGATAAAGTGCTTGGTCTCATGAGTCACATAGCTGCCAAAGTTCCTTCCCACAATGCAGTGCCACGTGGGATTGTATTTCTTGTCAAATTCCTACAGAAGAGAGAAGTAGACAGTCAGCATTTTCGTGGGAATTATACTAATATTGTCTAACAGGGATTTTTTTGCCATGATATGTCACTTGTTAACAAAAATCACTTTTGGAAGAAGGCAATTAGGGAGCAGCATATGCTCTTAAGCACAAGGATCATCTGTCACTTTATAACTCATCTGCTGCTTAGTCATACCAAAAAAAAAAGTGCTTCCAAGCAGAGCAGGAATAAGCTTAAAACATATGTTTGGGGGAGTAACTTTTCCCATAAAGTCAAGCCATGATCTCAGACCATAAATGCAAAGAATTTGACTGCTTGTTGCAAACCTCAGTGGATTGAGCCATTAGTTTGACTTCATTAGCTGTTTGCAATAAGGATGCTGAAAGCACACTTCATGGCAAATTCTCTGCCTTGATGCCTAGTCATGAGACCATGTTCTTCCACCACTCTCTAGTCAGGAGCCTGCTATGACTTAAAATAAACTCCTGTGTACAGGTCTACTGTGAGTAAACCTGTGCAGTCAGTGGTTATATACTGCAGCACCTAACTGTTGTCAGCTGAAGAGATTTTTTTGTGAGAACGTGGATGAGTTTCTGTTCTGCACAACCAAACCCTTCGACTCCTTGCAGCTCAATCAGGCTCCCAGTAGGAGTCAAGAGAGAAAATGTGTCAAACTGTAAGCTATGAACCATCTGTTCAGCGTTAGCATGAACAGCTTGTCTTACATGTGGTGGTAAAGGAAAAAAACCCAAACCCACTTATTACATGGTCGACAAACCACCACTCCTCAAATAGGCTCCAGAGAGCCCATATTTTGTGCCAGCTCATCAGTCACAGGGACAGTCATCTGGCACTGCTCACCTGGACAATAGGACTGGGGCACAAAAGGTGTAAGGAACTGCAAGAGAAAAGCAGAAGGAGCTAGAAAGCCCCATATAAAGGGGAGAGGAAAATAGGGAGAGAAAGTACAACTTGATTACCTAGTACCTCTAGAACTTGTTTCTCTAGAGCTACTTGCCCAGCAGCATTCTGCCTGATTGATTTTTCATGAGCACATTACAAGCCAACACTTACCTTCTTTATGTGAGCAGCAATATCCTTCTCGATGTTGTACTTCTCTAAAGCCTGAGTAGCACATTCCACCGAGTCCTGCTGCATCTCCTCTGACATATCTGCATTTTTGATCACTGCCTTTCGGTCACTCATGATTGCCTGTTGGAATAAAGAAAAAAGGAAATCAAAGTTGCACGAGCAGCTCCCTGCCAGAATCCCCTGCCG